AGTCTGAGTTGCTGGGGGATTTAAAATGGTGAGCTGCATTGCTATTTTTTGGCTTCGCGTTCGTGGTCGTGCCTCATCATCATGGTGGGTGTCTGTTTGCTTCATGTATGGATTGGAGGGATTTAAAGTGGCTAATGATGCAGCTGTGGTCTGGCTTCTGGTTTGTGGTCGTGCCTCATCATCGGTGTGGCTTTGGGTTTGCTTTTTGTGTGGATGTGTGGTGGTGACATCCTGTATGGTTTTTGTGAGTGTGGGTCTGGTGTCATTTTTTGTGTTAAGGAGTCGTTTGTCAATAAGGGCGGGTTTCCAAATGGCTGGTAGGTGGGAGGTATCATCTCGTTTGTTCATGCTGTGTGGGCGTTTTTCTATCTCGATGGCTTCTCTGATTATTCTGTTATTAAAATGTTCAGTTTTGGCGATAGTTCTGGTCTTTTTAAAGTCAATTTCATGTCCTGTGATTTTAAGGTGTTGGACCACGGAAGAAGTTGGTTCCTCTTTTTTGACTGAGTTCTTATGTTCTTCAATGCGTGCACTTATTCTTCTGTTGGTTTGTCCAATGTATGTGGTGGGACAAGTGGTGCATGGGATTTTGTATACTCCTTGATTTTCTAATTCAATTTTATCTTTGGGGTTTCTTAAGATGGTAGATATTTTTCTGTTTGGGCAGAATGCTGTTTTAATGTTGTGTTTGTGGAGGATCTTACTGATTCTGTCTATGGTGCCTTTTATGTAAGGGAGGAGGGCTTTGCCGTTTTCTTGTTCTCTGTCTTGGGTTTTAATGCGGGTTTTTTTTTGGATTAGTTTGGTAATCTTATTTCGTTGGAATCCATTGGATGTAAGTACATTAATGAGAGTGTGTAGTTTGGTTTTTAGGTGTTGTTCATCAGCTAAGCGTTTTGTTCTAGAGATGAGTGTCTTGGCTACGGAGTTGATCTGTGCTGGGTGGTAGTGTGAGAGAGCATGCAGATAGCGGTTTGTGTGTGTTTTCTTCTGGTAGATGGTGTGTCCTAGGGAGCCATTGGATTTCTTGTAGACTAAGACATCAGGGAAGTTGGTTATTAGCTTCTGTTTCCATGGTGAACTGTATTTTGGGGTGTAGGCTGTTGAGGTGTATGAGGAAGTTGTCCAGTTTTTCTTTCCCATGTGGCCAGATTATGAAGGTGTCATCTACGTATCTGAGCCAGAGTTTGGGTTTGTATTCAGATTTTTCTAGAGCTTGGGTTTCAAAGTGTTCCATGTAGAGATTTGCAATGACAGGTGAGAGGGGTGATCCCATGGGTGCTCCTTCTATTTGTTTGTATTTTTGTCCGTTATAGATGAAGTATGTGTTGGATAGACAATGGTTAGTCAGATCTAGGATGTGTTTTGGGGGGTTATATTTGTTTTGGATGGCTGTCAAGGCTTCTTTGATTGGCACTTGGATGAACAGGGATATGACATCGAAGCTCACGAGTAGGTCGCTGGGCTGTAAGTTTTGTTTCTTTATGATCTCTAAGAAATGGAATGATTTTTTTACGTGTGAGGTGATGGATTCTGCATAGGGCTGTAGTTGTTTGGTGAGAAATTTGGATAGGTTTTGTAAAGGTGAGCCTATAGAGCTGACTATGGGTCTAAGTGGGGTTCCTTCTTTGTGGGAAACCATAGAGCTTAGGGCATCTGGATGATTTCTCTCTGGGAATGATTCTTTGCTGGATCTCTTCGCTAATGGGGGAGGCTTTTATTTTGGATCTGGTGGTTTTTTCCAGGTAGGTGGTGGGATCTGTGTTTAGGGGTTTGTATATAGAGTCTTGGAGTAGGTTGGTTAATTTGGTTTGGTAGTCAGATGTATTCATAACCACCGTGGCAACTCCCCGGCAACTCAGACTAACCTGAGCACAACAAAGCCGGCAACTCAGATTAACCTGAGCACAACAAAGCCCCCACCCAAACAGAACACTCCCCCAGCCAATCAGAGCACAGCCAACCCCCCAGCCAATCAGAGCACAGCCAACCCCGCAGCCAATCAGAGCACAGCCAAGCTCCTAACCAATCAGAACACACCTCCATCCAATCAGAACACAGCCAAGCTCTCATCCAATCAGTTCATACCCCCACTGGCAGTTAAAAGGAGGAAACAGCTACAACCACACATTGCTCCTAGAAGCACGAAGCCGAAAGCACCAGCCTGAAGATGACGAATGAGACTTCGTCGAAACATCGCCAAGACACTTCCAATTTTACGTGGGAGAAAACCCAAATAACCAAAGACCTACATACAAACACCCGCGAAAACTCAGAAACATATATATATATATATATATATATATATATATATATATATATATATATATATATATATATATACACACACACACACACACACACACACACACACACACACACATACATACATGTATGTATGTGTGTGTGTGTGTGTGTGTGTGTGTTTGTACACATACATATATACGGTCTCTCAGCCCTGAAGATGTTGGAGAGTTTTCCCAACGAAAGCTTGGCAACCTTTTAATATAGTAAAATACTTTTATTAAAGTATTTTAACTTTAAACTCTCCTGGTGAACGCGCTTTATTCATTCCATTTATACATACATACATACATACATACATACATACATACATACATATATATATGCAATAATTCTTTTTCTTGCAAGAATTGTTATTACCAGTTAAAAGCAAGTGAAGTGGCAGAAGAGAGACAAAGTAGTCCTTGCGTTTTTTACCAACCTCTTGATGCATTTCTATTGACCTTAACTCTACCATAACATTTTTGCAAATGCAAATTAAACCAGCCATTTTGCTAGATGAATTTACAGTGCTTTGTTTGTTTATCACATAAAACTGATTGTCCCCATTTACATCTGTCAAAAAAAGGGATGGTCTTTTATAGTTTAGTAAATTACATAATTTATTCCATCCCCTTTAATATTTCAGATTCACAAAGCAGTGTACTGGGGAAACAAAATATTAGAAAAAATATATTTAAAGAATGATCCTGGCATGAAAGTTTAAACTTCACAGATAAATTCCTCCTGGCAACAAAATCTGTCTCCTACAAACATGAGAAAATATCTAAATATGGCTTCTGATTTGGAGTAAGAACTGAGAACTGAAACTGATCGCACAAAAAGTAAAGCTAGATATTCACTTAGTCCTTCTGTAACAATGATTTTTAACTCATCAATGTGATATCAAGGTGATCTGTCTATTCTAGAAAAGACATTTTAAGCATTCTTTGTTTTAGCTGTTCTTGGGAAGTTTTACCTAATCTTATCCAAATTCATTGAAATAAATTTTGTTCCCATTGTTTGGTGTCTAAAATGAGAGACACTGAAATTTAACCCTATGGGCTAACAAGTTTATGTAATTTAGAAACAGATTTTAGGACAGAAATGCAAGGAAGGAAATTAAATTGTTCAGTATTCAAGAGTATCAAATATTTTCATTCCTAGACATCCAGTCATCTGGAATTCTCTAAGTTTTATCAGTTTTACAGTTAATGCATTAGTTTGTGAGTGACCACTTCACTTAATGATCAAATTGCTGGTCCTAGCTGTGGTCACTAAATGAAAACTATCTATACTCTTTGGGAAATGATGGAAACTGCATATTACTTGGAGATCTAATTATGGTTCACAGCCTAGCAGATGGTTACATTGATTGATCCATGACTTCCACTTGCCTTTTTTTTTTTCTGTTTCTCCGTTATAATTTGGTTTTTAATGGGGTTTTGGTTAAAGAGGATTATTATATTTTTACTAATTCTTGGATTTTGTTTATTGGTTGTTTTTTGTTACGTGAGACATCCAGAATCACAAATGTGAGATGGGCGGCTATACAAATTGATTGAATATATAAATAAACATTATCAGAAGCATTAATTTCCATGGACAATGAGCCAGGTTTAATGAATTACACACTAATCATTTACTCAAAATCAGAACATTTTCACATCTGTATTATTCATTCATGTCTTTTAAAATCTATTTCCAGGTTTTCAGCACTTATTCCAATGAGGACTATGACCGTCGAAATGAAGATGTTGATCCTATGGCTGCCTCAGCAGAGTATGAACTTGAAAAAAGAGTGGAAAGGCTGGATCTTTTTCCTGTGGAACTGGAAAAAGGTAATAGAAAAATGTGTTTGGAGATGAATTTTCCTTTTCAGAACTTGCAGAAATGGGATGCTGTTTACAGGAATCAAGAAAGAACATAAGATATTTTGATCAGATTTCTGCAGCACGAGCCCTTCTTTTGTATTTTCCACACATATTTTAAGAATAGGTCACTATAAGCTAGTTTGTCTCTGAGATGGGCCTTATTTTCAACTTGCTGCATATTTCGCTCATCACCTTTAACTGCTTCCCCCAATCATTTCCTTTTATTTTCTTGTCCTTCTCCTATCAGTTATTTTCCCCTTAGGAATGGCATAGAAAAAGCCACAAGAAAAAATAAGCTGCTATGGCAGATATAGGCTATTTTTGTTTACAGGGCTGTAAGGGCCCTCAGCCTAATTTTTAAAAACGTGTTCAGCAAGAAATCAGTTTAGATCTTTGATAAGACATATCTGTCTTTTCCTGCAGAAGAGAATAGCAAAAGAAAGAAAACACTGAGTTTAAAATACAATGTGGCTTGAATCATAATCCTGCTAAACCTTAAACCTAAGTGAATAAAGTTCTCTTTCTGTGTTTATGTAACATTTTATGCCCAGAAAAAATAAGCAGAAGTGTTGCATATCATGAAATTCTAGTCTATATACCATGCTAAGAGAAGACTGGCTTTCAGCAACAAGATGAATCACAAACTATGCATTTTTATCTAGTCTCCACTTAAGTTTGACTATGGTTTCACTCAGTGCTTGGTTCCGTCTGACTCACCGTGTGCCTTGCAACATTACCCCTGAACAGTCCTAGACTGCTCCTCTTTGTACTAAAAATCATTATCAATTTAAGATTGGTTGTTTTTTCTCCATTAGTTTGGTCTTTATATTTAATTGTAGTCCCATTTTTCATTATATCCCTTGACTTTTATAACTAGAATTTGCAGTTCATTTGCATTTTCAGCTATCATAGTAGTGATAGCATACCACAGATTGATGGTTTTTTTCCCTCCAGCTTTAAAACTTCACTGATCTTATTCCAATCAGCTTCTCTTAATATAGGTGAGAGATGGTGAACCTATGGCACACGTGCCAGAGGCGGTACGCGGAGCCCTCTCTGTGGGCACATGCCATTGCGCCAGCACACGTGGTCTCTAAAAGTTCGCCATCACTGGCCTAAGGCCAGCCAGCCTGGAGCCGCCATTGGGGAGTCTACCATCCCACCCGCCAGAGACCCCATGGATCTCCCTCAACCCTGCCCAGCTCCCACAGGTGTCCCTCCCCATAAGCAACACCAAGGTGGCCACGCCCACCCCGGCCATGCTCACCCAATCTGCCATGATTACTGCAGCCACATCCATCCAGTGGCCATGCCCACCCAGTCTGCCAAACCCACTGTAGCTGCACCCGCCAAGTGGGCAACACCCACCCGGCACCCGGCAATACATAAGTGGGTTTTGGGTTGCAGTTTGGGCACTTGGTCTCTAAAAGATTTGCCATCACTGATATAGGTTGACTGGATGCTTAGAGACTGTTCAGAATTGCAACAAATCCCACCCCCTCCAAAAGCAACTTACAACCCACTTTTGAAATTCTGATGTTCTCCCCCATCCAATCTTTTGAATGTATTTTGGGTATTTATAGAACTCCACAGCCACATGACTGATTTACGACATCTTTGCCAGAAACCAGTATTTTATTGTGGTTTATGGCAAAGACTGACACACAGTGAACAGTGATTCATTTAACAACCATCCTGTTTGCTTTCTTTCACAATATTTTTTTTATTTTATTCAGAAAGTTAAAATACAAGTTCCAAAAAAGAAAAAAAGAATTTTTACAAAAAGAAAACAAAATTAGATACTTAAAATGTGCAATGGAAAAGACAAAATATAAAAACACATATACATATATTATGCCCCCCTAGTTGAATAGTGATAAGTATTTTGCAGCAATAATAGTTTCCCCTCCTTGCAAAGCACTTCTACAATTTATATACTTCTACATATCTATTTGCAACCAATTTAACCTGTCATGTATCTACTATATATAAGAAAAGGTACTTAACAGGTAAACCAACAGCAAAGTTAAACTTCAAAGCCCTCTGTTAACAATTGATTATTATATTTAACTCGTAGAAAGTCTACAGGGGCTTCTTACCTACCACAAATCATTGCAATCATTATCTCTGATCCATCTAGGTTTATTGTTGTTATCCTTGTTTGATTCTTAATAATAAAACTTTTCCTTAAAATTTTGTTTGGGGCCTTTCCCAACAATTGCATCTCATTTCCCCTTGGAGAATGGATTTGACAAGAGATGCTGTGTTTTTATTTACAGGGAGACTTTCTGAACAAGGGCACACCATGTTTGTTTTGTTCACATTTGTTTAACGACCACTGCAAAAAATGTTATAAAATTGGATCTGGCCACATTGTGACCTGCTTTATGATTATCATAACCTACCACCGTAATTGCCAGGCTCAGTTGCAGCCATAAACTGAGGACTTCCTGTACTTTTCCAGCATATTGACTGAATAAATAAAGGAAGAGTCTATAGCCTTGTCTCATTTCTTTGCCAACCTGGAGCTGGTCTGTTTCACCATGTTCTATCCATACTGTGACCTTCTAACCTATACATTGGTTTGTCATGAGGACAGTGAAATGTTCTGGGAATTCTGTTTTCTGAGCATATTCCACAGCTTGATATGGTTGGCACAATCAACGGCCTTTCTATAATCAGTAAAGTACATACTGACTTCTTTTTGATATTCTTTAGCTTTCTCAATTATACAGCATACGTCAGCAATAATGTTGCATGTTCCTCTTCCTTCTCTAAAGCCAGTTTGAACATCTGGCATCTCTTTTTCTTCACATAGAGCTCTAATTTGTGTTGGATATTCTAAGCATTAGTTTGCTAGCTTGTGAAATTAAGAATATTGTATAATAGTGTGCACACTCTTTTAATTCCCCTTTTTCATATTGTAATACAGATTCACCACTTCCAATTTCATAGCTACTATGTCATTCTCCAATTTTCCAAGATACTTTAGTTGGGACCTTTACTGATTCCTCTTCTGTTGCCTGCCATCTTTCTGTAGATATTTTTTCAATTCCTGTAGTCTTATGACTTAGTAATGATTGAAGTGCTGCTCCCACTTCATCTTCTAGTACTAGAGTTTCTTGTAAGTGGGGAATAACTACTAAGCTATATTGGGTGTTATGAGGCCCAAATCAAAAATGACATAGCAAAATCCAATCTAGTCCAATCCTTTATTTGCTTATACTTAATTGACAGAATCTTGCTGAACTAAAGCTGTAACTTTTTAACCTACTAGATGTATTCTGAGATATTCTAGAATGTGGCTAACCTAAACCTCTTGCCCTCTCCCCCATCCATTTTGGGACTGCACAGTGTCTTAATCTTGACCTTTCTTTGATGAGATTTACTGCCTTCTCCCTGAAAAAGCTCTGTATTGCCTAAACTTCTGTCCACTAATTTTCCTGATGCACATTCCCTCACAGATATTGGCATCTTGACTGTACAGTATTTCAGTATATACCTCCTATCTTTGATCTCCTTTGTTATTGTCGATTGGCGTTCTTTAAAGTACCACATTGAGATTGGAATCTCCTAGGTTTAGACATCTTTAGAAACACCTTCCTTATTTTTCCATGTTTCTTTTCATCTTTAGTGTTTTTACAGATGTTGTTGTAATACTACTTCTTGTCTCTTCTGACAGCTCCCTGAAACTCTTTGTAAAGCTTCTTCCTGAGATTTTTATCTTTCTTGGTTTAGTTTCTCTTCTCCTCTTGCTAATTTGTTCTGGCATCTAGTTTGCTTTCTTCTGTTTCTCCATCTGGAGAGGTTGAATACAGAGGAATTGTTTTGATTGTTTTGAAGACAGTATTAGCTATGAAGAAGTAATTGGAATATCTGAAATTGATAAGTCAGTGTCATGCTTTTCAATTTCTTAAGCCACATAGCCCAACTAATAATCCAACTATACCCTTTTCTTTAATATTTTCAACTTTGGCATTCCACCTCTTGATTCGATATTCTGTCAATTTCAAATTGAACTTGATCATAAAATTCATTGGCCACCTCTTGTTCTGCATGAATATTTGGAACATAAAGTTGAAGGGTCATCATATTAAAGAGCTGTCCATAAATTCTGATTGATAATATATGGCCATTGATTGAATTGCAGCCAAGTATTGTTCTTCTATACTTTTCCTAACTATAAAAACAATGTCACTTTGACTTTAATGTCCTGAATAATAAAATGTCCAGTTCTAGACTCTATTCATTGATGCCTAAAGTATCAATTTTATTTCATCTTTCATTGTAATGGAATGTGTGGATAACCTTGGGGAATGAGGGAAAGAGATTCTGCCTAGGAAACAATTAGAAAAGAGAGGCAGGATTCCCCATGGACTTAATGGTCAGAGAAAAAAACTTAGGAAGGACCCACCCTAATAGACCAAGCAGTTAAAAATGGTGGCGGGAAATTTCTATTTTCAGGCTTGCAAGTAGACATGATTCTGTTGATAAAAACTTACAATAAAGTAGATGTTGTTAATGTAGACTTACAATAAAGTAGAATTAGCTCATCTGGTTATGTTTCATGCCTGGTTTACCTGGGAGGGCTGATATTCACTCAGTTGAGCTTTCCAATATTCATGCTTCATACGTTCCATGTCTGCAACATAATTCTGACTGCAGCTTCTGATTTTCTTTTCCTGCATGGCAACATCAGGAACTCAATGTCCCAAAAGCTTTAATCTAGCCACATTATAAAGGCCATTAGTATTCTGAAAGGTCCTTGGCCGTTCCTAAGTAGTGTGTTGAATGTCATCTGACCTGAGTGCACATCATATGGCATTATATTATTTATATTTTATATTCATGTGGTTTTCTTGATAAAAATATAGGGATGGTTTACAATTGCCATAGTATGACTTGATACCTTTGCCATTGTACTGAAATGATCATCTGTCTCTAGCTTCTTCTATATAACTGCTTGTCTGATATAGGTGTCTGCTTTTTTTAGCTGGGCACGTGTAGTGACATTCATACCTTGGGTGATGCTGTTGGAAATATATATTCTAAATTCTGTTTATGGATTCTATGGTGAAAATGGACAAAAATGAACTGATGATTTCTCAATTTGTTGATTAAGAAGGGATAAATATAGGAAGAAGGGAACTATAATGTAATTCCAAAGGGGAGAAATGATAAAATAATAAGGAAGATTAGAAGAAGCATTCTTTTTTCTTTTTCTTTATCTGTACTATTTTCTTTATCTGCACTTTTTCATTTTCTACTCTCTTTAGATACACTTTATTATTTATCATTTAATTGTTTAAAAACTACTTTTCCCTTTTCTCTTCCACCCTTTCCCTTCCCATGATAATGAGCCAGCCCAGCAGTAATGGCGGCGGGGGGGGGGGATTGAACTATAAGCAAAAGAAATGAGCTGATATTGCACAAGACACTAAGTCCATTCTCTCCCCCCCCAAAAAAAATCAATCAATCATTTAGAGTTACAGTAAAACTTAGCATGTTGTACATATATAGCTGCTAGATTTTTAACTGATCTGATTAAACATGTTGAATGATCACAGTCAATTTCTCTTTAAAGAGCCAGGAAGAATCCCCCTCTAGCTGATGCGGAAATTTGTAGTAGCAGGTTTCATTGGATTTATTATCAGATTCTGGTAACCTTCAGACTTGACACCTCATATTTTAATTCAATTCACCTCTTCCTTGTCTCATGCAGATTCTGAGGGTCTTGGGATCAGTATTATTGGAATGGGGGCTGGAGCTGATATGGGTCTAGAAAAGCTTGGCATATTTGTCAAGACTGTGACAGAAGGAGGAGCAGCTCATCGAGATGGCAGGTCAGTAGGACTGATATTACATTGGGAATGAAGCTTATCTTGGAACAAGAATATACCAAAACAAGAACTCTTACTTTATTGATCATAATTGATCTCTGTTTGCTGTAGAAGAGATGGTTAAAATCGTAGATTTCTTCCTTTTTTTCTGTAAAAAAATTGACAAATCTTTTCCTCCCTAAAAGCTCAGGATCATAAGATGACGCAACATAAGATTAAAAACTCACCTCCCATATATTATATTTGTATCATCATTGTCGATGTAGCATTCTATTAACATAATATCAGAGTGAAATAATTTTGCTGAAAAATTCAAAGTTTTCTCTTTGACAGATAATGAAAAATTGTAGTAACCCTGATTAAGGAACATTAGGTTCTCTTTTTCCAACCAGAATTTATTTTGGCTGTTTTCCCTCAAAAGGGGGAACACATAAAAATAAGCTCCCCTTTTACTATATCTATGTGAGTCTACTTTTTTATTCTTCTACTCTGCAGGCAAACCTTTCAGGTGCTGGGCATATTCTTATAATGTGAATGTAAGCACTAAGAATTTTACAGAGTGATTTATTCAGAAATAGGGTTTATTATGTTTGACAGGAGTTAGGCTTTAATCCTCCACTCATTTGCATAGGAACAGTCAATAAGATTTATGTCCGAGTAAGATTTATGTCTGAGTAACATAGAATTCTGTTCTATGTTTTAATAAATTGCCAGGTTTAAGACTGTTACCTTAGTTTATGTGTAATATTTCCTAATGAAATACAAAGAAGCTAGCATAAAAAGCAAGAAATTGCTTCTAGGATTAGAAAAGGCTTTTAGTCAGTTTCTTCTATTTTTATAGGTAGTCCTCAACTTACAACCACAATTGAGCCCAAACTTTCTGTTGTTAAGTTGTTTTGCTCCATTTTATTACCTTTCTTAGTTATTATGTTGTTAAGTTGAATCATTGCAGTTGTTAATTTAATAACACAGTTGTTAAATGAATCTGGCTTTCTCATTGACTTTGTGTGTCAGAAGGTTGCAAAATAGGATCACATGACCCAAGGACACACTATAATTAGCATAAATATGAACCAGTTGCCAAGAGTCCAAATTTTGATCACGTGACCATGGAGATGCTACAATGGTCAGAAGTGTGAAAAATGGTCATAAGTCATTTTTTTTTCAACACCAATGTAACTTCGAAAAGTCATTAAAGGAACTGTTGTAAGTCGAGGCCCATCTGTATATGCACATTACAGCAGTAGAAGTAGCTCAAAATGATGACATGGTTTGTTTTATATTGGCCTTTTTGACATTTCATTCCAATTCTTAGTAAGAAGTAGAACGTGAAGGAAGAAAAATGTAAATAAGAAATAACGGGGCTATAAGGACAAATATTCTAAAGAAGAATAAGGGGGAATGTAAATAATAGATTACCGTTATGCAATTGCTGTAAAAAAAAGGAGTATATATTGTGTGTGTATGTGTGTTATATATCTCCAGCATGATGAGTGTAGAATCTACTGGATGGGTTATTTTAGCCTTCCTGCTCAGATAGATTAGGTCAGAACTTTGGCCACGCCTCCCTCAGGGTGTGTCTTCCCAGTTTTGGCTCAGGCAGGGCGCAGTTTTTTTGGCTCCTTAGCTAGGCTAGGTTAATTTGCTTTCTAATTGAATTTAATTGACTTTAAAATTGTTAGGTTATATTTAAATTGTATTGCTTTTCATTTGGAACTAAATTCAAAAAAATTGAAGTCGAAAGTTGAATCAGGCCTTCTGGCCTCGAGCCCAACAGGCTTCTGTGGAGAAGGCTGCAGGCCGTTTATCAAATAGGGGCTTTTCAGCTCCCAATCGGCAGTCAGCGGACCAGCCGGCCAGCTGGTTTTCGGAGATCGGAGTCTTCAGAGACTCAGACAATCTCAGAGGCTTCCCCCTCGGCTTCGTTGGCACGAGGCTTTCCTGGACTTCAAAATTTGCATTGCAGCGGAGGCAGCGCGCCTAACAGCAAGTGCTTTCAGGGGGAATTGCTTTGATCAGATTAACTGGCTTAAAGTCTGTTTTCTGGCAGGGGGTTGCGATTCCCTTCCATTCCCCTATTTTGGGTGCTTGTTTTTCCTTGGGAGACACTATACGAGGCGGCCGCCATTTTAACCGCGGTTTCTGTAGGTGGCCACCATATTGAATGGGTCATCAACAATGGCCGCCATTTTGAGTGTGTCTCTTAGGCAGTCACCATTTTGAGTGTGTCTCTTAGGCAGTCGCCATTTTGAGTGTGTCTCTTAGGCAGCTGCCATTTTGAGCGTGTCTCTTAGGCAGTCGCCATTTTGAGTGTGTCTCTAAGCACGGAAGACATTTTGAGGGACCTCATGTTCCTCACAAGAATATTGAGGCCTGCTTCTTTTATTGTTACAGGTCTGCCTTGTTAGTCCTTTCACCGGGGGGCAAGTTTTCAGTGTTATCAGACACAGAGTTGATTCCTGATCTGTATCGGGTGTTATTATTCTAGCTACTCATTGTACTCTAGCACATGTCCTCTTCTTCTGGGGTAAGTTGAGCGAAGAGGAATTTAGTTAAATCCACCTGCTACAATTAGTGTGTGGCATTTGTCACAGGCCTAGACAGGCAGTTCTAGGGAGCTGTCTATCCTTGCCATTGCTGTTGTGCAAAGTGAGGATCGGTTTTCCATCTCTGTCAACTAGATCTGCGTGTTTAGGTTCCCCCCACTTCTGGATATCTCCTACTTGGATTATCTAGACTGCAATGGCAGACAGTCCCTCACCCCAGGCACGACAGGGCTCGGGTATTCCTCCCACACAAGCAAAGCGCAGATCTACCGATTTGGACACGGGGGGGGGGAAGAAAAAGGCCAAAACAAAACACCTCTCTACCAAAGAGCCCTCAAAGTCAGCCGAGCGAGAGGCTTTGAGGAGACATTTGGCACTGGAAAGGGAATTTTCCAAAGCCCAAAGGCTCAGGTCCAGTGAAGCTGAAGTGGTTTTCCCCGCTCCATTGGACACTCCTACATCTGAGCTTCCATTTGCACCTTCTCATGATGTTCCAAGGGCTTGGTCTTCTCAGGGGGAAACTGTGCAGGCTGGTCCCCCTCGCTCCTCATCATCATCTTCTCATCATGGCCATGAGGCCACGTTTATTCCAGCTGAGGCTGGTGCTAGTTATGTGGAACAAGGGGATAGGTGGTCAGCTGAGTTTCAGTCCTTCATGCACAATGCATTTATGCAATTCATGTCTTCTAGGGGACAGCGGCCCTTTCAAGCACCACCACCTCCTTCTATACTTCCTTCTCAGGCGGCATGTACCACTGTCCCCGGTTCAGGAGTTTCCGAGACTTTTTCCCAGCTAGGGGAAGAGGGATCTGTTGACCTGGAGATAGCTGACACGCTCATGTCAGAAGATGAGGAGGCAGCGCCCGAACAGGTGCCAACTTTGGGGCTCTTTGACCCTTCTCTTTTCCGGTCTCTACTGTTAAAGGCCATTACCACCGTTAACCTCACTTCGGTACAGGAGGAGAAACCTTCTACCTCTGCCAGTCAGGAATCTAATCCTTTATTCGCGGAACAGGTGGTGGAGGATAAGCAGATTCCCTGTCGACAGGTTTTCTGCACTACAGTGGAGAAGCAGTGGTCATCCCTGGCCACTCTGACTTCCCCTAGTAGTACAGAAAAGAAACTGTTCAGTGTGTCTTCTTCATTTGCTTCCCTCTTGGAGGTACCTTCAGTTGATACTCCTCTGACTTCTTTGTTTTCCACATCTGCTATTCTAGGGGATATGGCTGAGGCCCTGAAAGCGGAGGAAAAGAAGTTTGAACTCTCTCTTTGCCGAGCGCACCAGGCTTCGGCATGGGCGATAATGGCCGTGACTTCATCCTCTTTCTTTGCCAGGGCATCGATCATGTGGCTTCGTAAGCTTCAGACACTCGTCCCACTGGATCAGGTTCGAACACATCAAACACTAGGGAAACTAGTGGCCGCTTCAGAGTACGTGGCAGATGCTTCTCTTCATTCGACCAGGTACTCTGCCAGATCCATTGCAGCTATGGTTGCCTCTCGTAGGCTACTGTGGCTGAAACAGTGGGGAACGGATTTGAAATCAATGTGGCGCTTATCCACATCCAAATATAGTGGTACACAGTTGTTCGGGCCAATCCTTGAACCGCATATTATTGAGGGCAAGGATAAACGTAAGATCCTGGCACACCCCTCCAAACGGTCTGATAGACGGCCCCAACAGGAATTCCGTAGGCAGGTCTTCCATCCCAGCAGTTCCTGGGAGGCAGCCCTTTCGGGCAGGGCAGTCCTGGGATTGGTCAAGAGGCTCATGATCCTTTTCCCCCGAGACAGGATCGTCCGCAAGACTGCCAGAACATGGGAGCCAAGGGCCTTCCGGGGATCAGGCGGTCGCCCGTATAGGCGGTCCAAGTGATGCCAAGGAGGACTTTCCCATCGGGGGTCGTCTGGCACTGTTCAGCAACATTTGGGAGATGACCACCATAGACTCTTGGGTAAGGGAAACCGTCAAGTATGGTCTCACCCAAGAGTTCTACTCTCCTCCCCCAGACCACTTCATTCAGTGTCCGGTGTCAAGAAACGCAAACAAAGCAAAATTGGTAGCCACGGCCATCTCTCATCTGTTAGATATCAAGGCCATAGAGCCAGTACCACGGGATCAGGAAGGAAAGGGGTTTTACTCCATCCTGTTTGGGGTCCCCAAAGCCTCAGGAGGATGGAGGGCAATACTGGACGTAAAGGGTCTAAATTACTTCTTAACCTACAGGAGGTTCAAGATGCAGACCCTAAGATCCATCCTCGCCAGTATCAGGAAAGGAGATTTCTTCTCATCCATAGATCTAACAGAGGCGTATCTACACATCCCGATACTCCCAGAACACCGTAGGTTCCTCCGGTTTTACTACGCACACCGGCATTACCAATACAGAGCTTTTCCCTTCAGTCTATCCTCAGCTCCAAGAGTTTTCACAAAAATTTTGGCAGTCTTGGCGGCTC